CTATGCCCAACTGCACTTTACATTACAGAGACATCCAGTTTCATCTGGTTTGACATCTTAACATGGGACAGCGTCAGTACGCTTCTGATCTGTCCCATGATAAGATGGATATAGTGCTTGGAAGTGTATGTTGCTTCAAAGATAGAGGCTGCAAAAAATCCCTGCTGCATTCCACACACTTTATAAAAAAACATTTCAAAAGTAACTCACCAATCAAAAATTAGGGGATCCACATTATGATGTCACACAGACCAGAGAGGACCATCAATTCTTCATAAATTGTAGAATATATATATATATATATATATATATATATATATATTTTGCATGCACTTAATTATTTTTTAATTTATGGAGGACTCTGTCCACTATAGACTACTGAATTCATTAACCTTTTTAAGTTTACTCGTCACTTTCCCAAACACTAATTTTAACACTTTAATTTCCATATCATAATAACCAAATATAACAGGGTTTAACATTGACATAACCAACATATTTGTGTTAGATACGGTTAAACAAAAAAAAATACTTACTTAAAATAATATAAATCAGTATATTAAAGGGACACTATAGTCACCAGTGCAACTACATGTATTCCTAACCCTATAGTGTTAACACAACCATCTAGCCCCCATGGGCCCCTCATGCCTCCATAAATATAGTAAAAAACTTACTGTATTCAAGCCAGAAGCTGTAAATCTGCATGCTGTTAGACTCAGGAAAAACAAGTAGTCTGCTGACTTGTGATAGCCTGATCCAATCACAATGCTTCTCCATAGGATTGGCTGAGACTGACAGGGAGGCAGATCAGGGACAGAGCCAGCACAAGTCAAACACAGCCCTGGCCAATCAGCATCTCCTCATAGAGATGAATTGAATCAATGAATCTGTATGAGGAAAGTTCATTGTCTGCATTCAGTGGGAGGAGATACTGAATCACAGGATGCTCGTGCACAGCAGATTTGAGTGGATGGAGGCTCAGAAGTCCCTCTGGTTCACTCTGAGTGACTGCAACTGGAGGTGTTCCTAGCTTTCAATGTAAACGATGTATTTTATCAGAAAATACAGTGTTTGCATGAGAAAGGCTGCAGGGAGCTATAGTTCTCACCTTAACAACCTCATTAAACTGAAGTTGTTCAGGTGACTATAGTGTCCCTTTAATATTGAAAAATCAAAACTATGTTATAGATTTGATAAATGAATTTGCCTTGAGTTAAAGCAGTGCAGATTGCAGGTCCCCTACAGATCTGAGCACTTTCCTGCAGGACAATAAGAGGTCTAGAATGGTTCCAGATTGCTGCTACTTATTGACACCCACTTTTCAATTTTGTGGTTTTCTTCTAGATATATATTTTGGCTTGTGAAGTATCATTACCCTGTGCTGTTTGTGATTGACACAGCTCTATTAAAGGTTTCTCTCCTTAACGCCCAAGGCGTTGCTGTGGTTACGATTCTCTGTTCAACTCGCTTTGCCTGCAGCCAAGAACTCATTAACTGAATATAGTTTGGGGTCCTTAAAATACCCCACAATGCTTTCAATGGTAAAAATCCAAAGAAAAACAATTCTAAAACCATAAATGCTTTCATTTTGTAAGTGTATTTTGTATAGCAGGATAACTGGTTTCACAAGTATAGTTTGTATTTGTGCAAAAGCTATTTAAGGGATCCTGTAGTACCAGGAAAACAAACCCATTTTCATTGGCACTATAATCTCCTGGAGTGCCCCCCTCCCTCGGGGCCCTCCTTCAGTCACTTACCTGAATCCAGCGCCGATGTCCCTCGGCACTGGGTCAGGCTCCTCCCAAGCTCCCCCGCCTTTGATGTCAGCCGAGAGGCAATGGCCGTGCGCGCATTAGACCTCCCCATAGGGAAGCATTATTTAATGCTTTGCTATGGGGAAAATCTGACACTGGAAGTCCGTGAGGACGTCCAGCGTCAGATAAGGGACCAAAAGTCATTTTGAATTCCGGAAGCCCTCTAGTGGCTGTCTGTTACACAGCCACAGAGGGAAGACTTTGAGCTGCAATGTTTTACATTGCAGCACTGAGTGCAAAAGGGTCACCGCACCCAGACTACTTCAATTAGCTAAAGTGGTCTGGGGGCCTAAAGTGTCCCTTTACTCTGTACTTCTGGATAATTGTTCAGAAATAGAACTGACTACTTGAATTGTACTTTGTAAACTCTAAGAACTATTTGGATGTTCTGTAATTAACACCCAGGTGACTCTGCATATTTTATTAGCCTTTATAACAACTGTAGTTTCTTTTTAAAGGAACACAAATATTTATTACTGACACCATAATGGCAAAATAACTATTTAGGCACTCAGGCGCCTCTCCTTGCTGTATAAAGGTGAGCTTACTCACCTTTTTTTTTTCCAGTGCTGCGACAGGCAATGCCTCACTCCTTCTCCATGGCTGAGTTCATTAAACTTGATAATCTCAGCACATGCAATGTTTTCCCATAGGAAAGCATTAGGAGGCTATTGCGCATGCTCGGCAAAACATGGTGCTGCGTAATCAGCATCTCCTCATAGAGACTGAAGCAATGCATCTCTATGGGGAACACTCCGCATCTCCGTGCAGCACTGTGCAACACTGACACAGAAAAACCCTCTAATTACCTTCTGAATGACTGCCACTAGAGGTGTTACTAGGCAGTAATGTAAACACTGCATTTTCTCTGAAAAAGCAGTGTTTACATTAAAAAGTTTTCAGGGGCCGGCTATAGACACCAGAACAACTACATTCAGCTGTAGTTGTTCTGGTCACTTTAAGATTCTAGGCTTGTTTTATATGCTACCTAATTACAGTGCACCTGACTTAGGTAACAGTTCAGCCTTACATGCTTAACCCGTTAACGCCGTTACGGCGTGCTATGCCGTCCCGGCATTAATGGGCTTAAACACCTTTACGGCGACATAGCACGCCGCAGCGTTTAAGCCCACGTTTCCCCGATCCCTCCCAAACTGCAGATCACGGTGGGGGGGACCTGCCTAGCAACCCAGTGGCCAATCCGTAGTGATCTGCAGTTTGTGATCGCAGTGACATCCAGTCACTGCGATCACTGTAACAATGTGTCAGCCAATGATTTTAAATGATTTAAATCACTTTGATCTGAGAGAGAGAGGCAGAGAGATCGTTTGTCAAAAATAAAGAAAAAGTAAAAAAAAAAAAATTAACCCTTCCAGTGCTGGTCACAGCATTTAACACTGATCAGCCTGTTTAGGGATTTTAGTACATTTGTACTATTATAATTTTTTTTTTTTTTAGGGTCAATAAATATTTTTTTTATTTTTTTTTACCCTTTGTCAGCCGCAGCAACCCAAATCTCCCTTAACCATTTCCCCGCTGCAGTGATCACTGTACTGTACAGTATCATTACTGTACAGTATTGTACCAGTGATCACTGTGATCAGAGGGCTCTCTGATCAGGCGCTGACTTTTTTGGGGGGTTATTTTTATTAAAAAAAACAAAAAATAAAATAAAAACTAACCCTTTCAGTACTGGTCGCAGCAGCCTAAACTGCGTTCAGTACATTTATTTTATTTTTTGTGGTTTTTGAGGGTGGGTAGTAGGGTGTTAGGCAGGTAGGAATTTTGTAATTCCCCCCTTAGATTTTTTTTGATTAATTTTGAGTAGTCCCCCCTAGAATGGCACGTCGCTACTCGGCCGAGGAGGCGTACGCCATTCTGGCAGGCAGTGATAGTGACACTCTGCAAGACAGTGACACTATCACTGCCTCTGACATTGAGGCTATGACTGACTCCTCTAGTGATGGTGCCCCACCACCACCAACAAGAGGATGCTCAGCAAGCCCAATGCCAGAAGGAGACTGGGTGCCCCCAAACCTGACGGCCCCAGATATTCCCCCATTTACGGCGACCCCTGGCATCACTGTTATGGTGGATGCTTGGGAGCCCCTAAAATATTTTGATTTGTTCATGTCAGAGGAAGTATTTCAGTTATTGGTTGAGCAAACCAATTTATTTGCCAACCAATATCTGACTGTGAATCCGGGGTCACATAACAATAGGCGTAATATGTGGCACCCCACGGATCTCGCAGAAATGCGCAAATTTTGGGCCCTAACTCTAGTTATGGGCATTGTCAAAAAGCAGAGTATTAGGTCCTACTGGTACAAGCACCCCATCCTGGCTACCCCTCTTTTCCCTGGGGTTATGAAGAGGGATCGCTATGAGCAGCTGCTGCGTTTCCTCCACTTTAACGACAACACACTGTGCCCCCCAAGAAACGACCCATTGTTTGACAGGCTGTACAAAATTCGGCCCCTAATTGAACTCCTGTCAGACAAATTCTCCCAAAATTATGTCCCTGAAGAAAATATTTGTATAGATGAGTCCTTAATGAAGTTTAAGGGTAGATTACTTTTTAAGCAGTATATCCCTTCTAAACGGTCCCAATACGGAGTAAAATTTTATAAATTGTGTGAATCCAAATCTGGATATACATGGGCGTTTCGTATTTATCAGGGGAAGGATAGCCATCTTGACCCACCAGGATGCCCTGATTCTGTGGGTACATGTGGCAAGATAGTATGGGACCCAATCCTTCCCTTGTTAAATAAGGGATACAGGCTATGGGTTGACAACTATTACATAAGCATAGAGTTATTTAAAACTCTATTTTGCTTTGAGACCGTAGAGGTTTCCCCCAAACCCTGGCATGAGGTAGACACAGTAGAGGCTCCCTTTCAGCGCTCCGCCAGAATGAGTTGCTTGCCCTTCGCTTCACCGATAGGAAAGATGTGTACATGTTGTCTACAATGCACAACGAAACTTCAGTGCCAGTGTCTGTGAGAGGTGGAACTGAGCAGCTGGAGAAGCCGAAGTGCATTGTAGACTACAGCACGTTTATGGGGGGAGTAGACTTGGCTGATCAGTGCACACAGCCCTATCTGGTGAACCGGAAGAGTAGGACCTGGTACAAGAAAATTGCAATCTACATAACCCAGATTGCAATTTTCAATGCCTCTATGCTTTATAAAAAGGAAGCCATAGGTAGACCATGCCCATTTCTAGAGTTTATGGTCCAAATTTTGTCTCAAATTATATTTGTCCAGACCCCAAATCCTAACCCTCCTTTGGAATCAGAAGATGTCCAACGACTTTTCAGCAAACATTTCCCTTCCCAAATCCCCCCCACACCCTGTAAAAGGTCACCCCAACGAAAATGATGTGTTTGCTGGAAAAGAGGAGTCCAAAAGGACTCCAGTTATTATTGCCCCTCCTGTCCATCCTTACCGGCCCTCTGCATAACAGACTGTTTCAAAGTCTACCATACAGAGCTGAACTACTAAATCACTCTGTATGGTACTTTGGCAGTTTGTTTGCTTGATTTCCCTGGATTCCCTGACCTCGGCTTGTCCTGACTACGCTTCGTTAGCTGCCTGTACCGACCCATTGGCTTGTTTTACCGACTACTCTGACTTCTGCATTCCTCTGACCTTGGCCTGTCCCTGTTTATGCTAGCCATTCTAAAGTGGCTACACCAAACAACTCAAAATACTACATTTGTAGTACTTGAAATGTGCCTTCACAAAAAAAGCAAAAAACTAATCACAGGGTTAATGCTACAGTATCTGAGTCAACGATCTATCTGCCTCTCTCTGCCTTCAGATCAAAGTGTATGTGATATACTAAAAACCTGGAAACATTGTACATGTAGGTATCGTTATATTCAGATGACAGTGTTAAATTAAAATACTGAGGTTTTTAGTGCACTAACTAATAACAGGATTATGACATTTCTAGTGAAAATACAATTTATGTGATTAAAAAGACAAAAATAAAAGTAGAAATTGCTACATGGGCCCATCATTTCTGTTAAAATGGCTAGACCAAACATCTCAAGGTCTGCCATTTGTTGTACTCTGGGTTGCCTACATTTGAAGATGGTATGCCATAACGGTGGAAATGTTATTACCCAGGCTGCCATGCTCTCTAAATAGCCACACAGGCCCAGCAAATTACTTTGTCAAATTTCCAACTTTGAAATGGACATCTAATATATTTGTCCCTGTGACTTCCCCAAAAAACCAGAAAATCTGGTACATGTGGGTACTGTTGCATTCAGGAGACAATGTTAAATACAAATAGTGAGGCTTTGTTGCAATAACTCATACCAGGAATAGGAAATGTCCTGTGAAAAGTGAGTTCATGTGTGGAAAAAAGCACAAATAAAACTATTACCGCTATGTGGGCCCTTCATTTCTGACAAAGTGGTTAGATCAAATATCTTAAAATGCACCATTTGAAATACTCTGGGTTGCCTACTTTTGAAAATGGTATGCCATAATAGTGGAAATGTTATTACACAGGCTGCTATGCTCTCTCAAAGGCAAGATAGGCCCAGAAAATCACTTTGCCAATTTTCAATGTGTAAAACCAAAAATGGACAAGCGTATATTTGACCCTGTAACTTTCCAAAACCCCATAAAACCTATACATGGGGGGTACTGTGGCGCTCGTGAGACATCACTGAACAGAACTAGGAGTGTTTCAGGGCAGTAAACTATATACTGACAATAATATTATCAGTGAAAGTACAGTTTTTATGTGAAAAATGCAAAAAAAAAAAAAAAAAACGAACACTAACTTTGGCTAGCATTCGTGCCCAAGTGGCTACTACAAAAGACTGGCCATACATACCCCATTTTGAATACCCTGGGATGTCTACTTTTTCAAATGGTATGCCATTAAGGGGTAATTTTCATTTCTTGACTGCCATACACCCTCAAAGGCAGCCTAGACACAGAAAACTAATCTGACATTTCATTGTGCAAAAGCATAAATGGATAAGCCATATATATGACCCTGTAACTGTCAAAAAAAACATAAAACCTATACATGGGGGGGTACCGTGGCGCTTGTGAGACATCACTGAATAGGACTAGGAGTGTTTCAGGGTAGTAAACTATATACTGACAATAATATTATCAGTAAAAGTACAGTTTTTCTTTGAGAAATTAAAAAAAAAACCACTAACTTTGGCTAGCATTTATGCCCAAGTGGCTACTACAAAAGACTGGGCTTACCCCATTTTAAATACCCTGGGATGTCTACTTTTTCAAATGGTATGCCATGATGGGGTAACTTACATTTCTTGGCTGCCATACAGTCTCAAAGGCAACCTAGGCCCAGCAAACCAATCTGTGAAATTTCTATGTAAAAAATAAATAAATAGGCAAGACGTATATTTGACCCTGTAACTTTCCAAAACACCATAAAACATATACATGGGGGGTTACTGTTTTACTCATGAGACATTTCTGAATACAAATATGTATGTTTTATTGCAGTAAAACCAAACACTATTGTGACATTATCAGTTAAATTGACATGAAGAAATTGAAAAATATAAAAATTTCTTAATTTTTTAAACGTTTTTAGATTTTATTCATATAAAATGGAGTTCTATATATGAATGTTTGATATGGAATGAAAGCCCTGTTTCCCCTGAACAAACCGATATATAATGCGTGTGGGTGCATTAAATATGAAAGAGGTGAATTACGGTTGAACAGACATAGAGTCAAATTCTGTGGTTTGTTTACATTTTGTTTTGATCACAACTTGTACATTTGGCTCGGTCCTTAAGGGGTTAAAGCTTAAACCACATGTTTGCAAAATTAATATATGAATTGACATTCCCAATAAGGTCACATTTCATTCTGTAGTTTTAAAGGCTAGCAATTACACATAAGACTACATGATCATATGGAAACTTATGAGAGTTACATATTTGGTATTTATTTAAATAAATCAGGTTTGAGGTTCAGGCATCTACTGTGAAAAGTAAAACTGGGGATAATCTTAGATTTCCATTTTAAATTGTTCTGCATGGAAAAAACAGTTTTATATGATCTTTCTTATAATAATATCAAACTATTTTAACAGCAACATTTTAATGAGATTTTGTCTGTCCTGTGTATTATTATAAACTAACAACATTGATTTTATAAACCTCGGAAAGATGAGATGTTTCATTGACCTTGAGACTTTCTCCTGTGACCTTGACATCAGAATACATTCTACAGTTCAAGCATCAGCCAACTGCGTTGTTCTACCAATTATAATGATTACATTTTATCTTGAAGTTAGTGACAATGGTCAACTGAAGATGTAACTTGAGTTTGGAGGCATGTGTGTTAGCTGAAAATACTGTTTTCTAGAATTAGTTTGGGATACATAGAATATGAAACCAGCAGAGACAGTAGAGACGAATGCAATGGAATGGTTTGTTAAACTTGCTCTCACAAAGAAACAAAGTCAAGAACCTTTAGACATTTCGCCCTTTAGACATTTCTTCAGGTACTTCCACCAGAAAACCTTGCCAAGGTTTCCTACTATATCAGTTGAGATAATGATTGTCATACAAAGCTGGGAGTGCAAAAGGGCAAAATGTTGAACTAAAATTTCCTTTATCAGGCTATTGATGAATGATAAAGGTGCTGTTGTACTGAAATGTTTACTTTTGTAGTGCCAGATAAAATGATAAATTTATGGGTTTGTACTACCACCAGAGTTCTTTAATTTATTATCCCTTTAAATGTTTTGATAGAATTTTATCTGTCAACATAATCTATGTTTCCAAGTATCTTCTACCACTTCAGCACTTATATTAATGGTACATCTGAGAGTAGTTTTCAATCATGATAAAAAGACAGTTAATATAATATTGTAAAAAAAAAAAAAAAGATAACCTGCACACTATCGAAAATCCCTATGCACGTTTAAATAACCGGATATTTTTTAGAATCACTTTAATGGCCTCCAATGGCCATTAAAGTGTAAGCTTAGTCCTACACTAACAATCCACCTTGCTGGTTCTCTAACGAAACAAAAAAGTTGTTGTTTTTTTTATCCCATATACACTTATTAGCCCTTAATATGGTACAGGGCTTAATTGTATATATTTGTATTTACTTTCATATTACACAGCCATGTTACAGTGCTGCCGTGCATCCCAAGTGTACCCAATCAAGTGTTAATAAGTATGCAGTACTGATTATTGCAAAGTAACAAAATATCAACAGAGACCATAATATTATTTTGTATATAATGTTTGCTTAATGACCCATTCATTAGTTGTAAACTTAATGACCTATTCCTCAAATAAAGTATTCTATATACTAAAACAATTTCTAAAAAAAAAAACCTTCTCCTTGCCACCAGAAAAGGATATGCCCCATAGCAAACCATTTAATGTGGGAAGTTGACATTGGGCTGACAAATTTAATGTATCTGTACCAACCAATGGTGACCTACTGAAAACAGCCAGGAAACTAAATTTTTGTAGAGATTACAAGGGATGTGCATGGGCAAAATATTCGGTTCCGTTGAGCATTCCGAAATTCGGGACTTCGGAACTTCGGCACTTCGTTTCGTTTCGGCATTCTGAAATTCGGGATTTCGGCACTTTGGGACTTCGGGACTTTGGCACTTCGGTTCGGTTCAGCACTTCCAAAATTCGGGACTTGTTTTTTATTTGGCCTTTTTTGGGGCTGAAAAAAAAAGATTTTAGAAAAAAGAAGACATCAAATGGTAAGTTTTATTTATTTTCTTAAATGTACTTAGTTATTGTTCCCCCCTCACCATTTTTAGGGTGAAGGGGGTAGGAAGGGGTTTATTCATTTTTTTGGGGAGGTGAGTGACTAAGGGTTTAGGGACCCCTACTCACCTGCGGGCATGTAACATTTTTATTTAGGGCCCCCACCCGCCGCTCAGGGGTGGAGGCCGGGGTGGAGGACAATAGGTCTCCCCTAATCTACTTTATGGCCCCCACCTGCACTTTGGCACTTCGGCACTTCGGCAATTCAGCTATTCGGACAATCAGAATTGCCCGAAATTCATCCGAATTCACACTCTAAATGAATTGCACATGTCTAATAGCCACTACTCTTTTAGCCTTGGGGTGTGCACCAAAAGAATTTACCAGTTTCACTTAAAAATATCTATTTAGAAAAAGTAGGTAAAATTTACAGTTTTACCCTAGTGATCGGTAGATGCATGGAGAGCTAGTCAAGACCCTGAAGAGCCAGGCAAGAGTGTGAGGAGAGTGTATACAGAGGAATGTGGTAAAGTGGTCTTGGGATTGTGGGTGAAGTAGTAGGGGGTAGATGGGTGGGCTAGTATAAATAGGTTGTCATCTTACAGGATAGTAGCCATCTTAATTATCAGATGGTAACAGCTTGGTAATTGCTGG